ATTTCTGATGAAAACAGGGCTATGATAAACATCTAAGAGTGCCACTAAAAAGAAATACTATCTGCTAAATTTTTTTAAAGGCAGTAGCTTTTAGGGAAAGTTTTAAAGAAAATACATCTATTCCTAAAAAAAAAAAAAGGCAAGATTCAGGAGTGCAGAACTCTGAACATGTTATTTTGGTTCTCACTCTTGAATGAACTACTCTATTAAATCTCATTACCATCCCCATTAAATGAGTAGCTGAACTGCCAGTAATATTTACCCATTATTCTCTATTATGAAAACTGTTCCTATGAAAATGTTGCCATTAGCAATAAAAGATTTCTCACTTTCTATGTAATTTAGAGACCATCTCAAGAATAGATTTAATTGCAACTCCAATCTTGAGTCTCCCAAAGTAGACTGTAAGTTCTTTGGACCAAGATTTTTGTTGGGTTTATTCACTGCTCTATCTCTGAAACCTAGAACGTTGCTGTTAAGTGCTATCTAGTTTATTCCAACTTAGAGTGACCCTGTGTAGGGTTTCTCAGGAGCAGCTGGGAGGTTTAACCTGCAGATCCTGCAGTTAGCAGTCCAGTGGTTATTCTGCTGTGCAACACGAGGAAACCTAGAATATTTCTTGGTAATAGTATATATTCAAGAAATATTTGTAAAATGAATAAAAATTATTGCTGATTAAAAAAAAAAAAGAATAGGTTCAATACACTGAACACTAGTAACTGAAGACCAAAGGAGTTGTGGGATGGTATCAATAACGTTATGTATGAAGAAGGCAAAAGGTCATAAAAAGACAGAAAAGACCAAAGTAAATGTCAGAAGATTCTGAAACTTTCTCTTCAATACAGATCAGCAAAAGTGACTGGAAGAAATAATGAAATAAAAGAGCTAAACAGAAAATTTTAAAGAGCAACTCAAGAAGACAAAGTAAAGTATTACAATGAAAAATGTGCAAAGGCCTGGAGTCAGAAATCCAAAAGAAAAGAACGTGCTCAGCAGTTCACAAGCTTAAAGAACTGAAGGAAAAATTTAGGACTTCACTTGTAATATTGAAAAATTCTATGGGCAAAAGATTGAGTGACTCAAGAAGCATCAAAAGAAGATGGAAGAAACACAGAGTCATTGTACCAAAAAGAACTGGTTAATATTCAACCATTTCAAAAGATAGCATAGGATCAAGAACCCATAGTATTGAAGGAAGATGTCCAAGCTGCACTGAAGGCATTAGCAATAAACATGGCTCCAAGATTGAAAGAACACTAACTGAGATGTTTCAACTCTGCAAACATTTACTCTTCTGTATCAAGAAGTTTGAAGACATCTACCTGGACAACCGACTGGAAGAGATCCATATTTGTGCTGATTCCAAAGAAAAGTGATCCAATAGAATGAGAAAATTATTGAACGGTATCATTAATATTACATGAAAGTAAAATTTTGCTGAAGATAATTTAAAATATTTGCAGCAATACATGAACAGTGGACACCCAGAAAGTCAAGCCAGATTCAGAAGAGAATGTGGAATGAGGGATATAATTTCAACCAAGCTATCAGGTGAATCTTGAATGAAAGCAGAGAATACCACAAAGATGTGTACCTGTGTTTTACTTACTATGTCAAAGCATTCAATTGTGTGGATTATAGCAAATTGTATTGGGAAGAATAGGAATTCCAGAATACTTCATTGTGCTCACTTAGAGCCTGTACATCGACCAAGAGGCAGATGTTTGAACACAACAAGGGGTTACTGAGCAGTTTGAAATCAGGAAAGGTGTGCATCAGGGTTATAGACTTTCACCATATTTATTTTAGATGCTGAGCCAATAATCCAAGAAACTGGACTCGAAGAATAAAAATGAGACATCAGGATTGGTGAAAAAGACTCACTAACAACCTGCAATATGCAGGGACTATAACCTTGTTTGCTGAAAGTGAAGAGGACTTGAAGAACTTAATGATGAAGATCAAATACTACAGTCTTCAGTATGGATTACGTCTCAACATAAAGAAAACAAAAATCATCACAACTGGATCAATAAGCAGCAGCAGCATGATAAACGGAGTAAAGATTGAAGTTGTCAAGGATTTAATTTTACTTGGATCCAAATCAATGTTTAGGGAAGCAGCAGTCAAGAAATCAAACAAAAGATTGCATTGGACAAATCTGCTGCAAAAGACCTCTATAAAGTATTGAAAGGCAAAGCTGTTACTGTGAGGACTAAGGTGCACCTGACCCAGGTCATGGTATTTTCATTTGCTTCATAAACATGTGAAAGCTGGACATGAATAAGGAAGACCGAAGAACAATTGATGCCTTTAAATTACGGCGCTAGTGAAGAACATTGAACATACCATCAACTGGCAGAAGAATGAACACATCTGTATTGCAGGAAGCACAGTTGGAATGCTCCTTAGAAGACAGGATGACAAGACTTAGTCTCATGTACTTTGATCATGTTCTCGGGAGGGACTAGTCCCTGGAGAAGGTCATCATGCTTGCTAAAGTAGAGGGTCAGTGAAAGAGAGGAAAAAGCTGAACTAGATGGACTGACACCATGGCTGCAACAAAGGGATCAAACATAGCAACGATAGTGAAGATGGTGCAAAACTAGACTGTATTTTGCTCCATTGCACATGGGTTATTATCAGCTAACAACAACATGTAAGGTCAGCCTCAAAGTCTGTATATATATTCTCATCCAGCCAGTTACGCATATGCCCACTGCCATCGAGTCAATTCCAATTTATAGAGACAGAGTAGAATTGCTCCATCGGAATTCCAAGGTTGTAAATCTTTACAAAAACAGACTACCTCATCTTTCTCCCACAGAGCAGTTGGTGAGTTTGAGCTGCCAACTTTTCAGTTACTGCTTAACTGAATGCTTAACTCACTGTGCCACTAGGGGCACTAGGTACACACACAGATAGATGTATGCTTCGCCTTGCTGCTTCATACAGAAATCTTTTCCTTCAAATCAGTCCATAGTTTGTCCTTGAGACTATAACATGCATTAAGGGGATATGAAAATGCGTGCATGAGAGAGGGTCCCAGTCCACAAGATAGTTATAATTTACTTGGAGAGATAAGACATATTCGTAGGAAGAGTTCCTAGTGTCAGTAAAATGGAAAATGATCGTATTTTCTATGAGCAATACGGAGATGCCATCATCTGCATATTATGTGCATCAATCCCAAAGCTTTAATTCAAAGAATTAAGAAAAAATAAACCCATGCCATTTATTTCAATTCTATTAAAATACAATAAATAAGAGAATTTATTTTGAGCATGTAAAAATAGCATGGCAATGGACAGTGTCAGGGAAGTTAAGGTGACATCTTTACTGGCCAGAGTATCACATAGATTCAGAACAAAAGTTAGGGAAAAAGAAATGGTTCTGTATTTATTTCAGCAGTGGCAAAGAAACCTGGCTTCTCAGAGCTTTCCAAAATCCAGAAATGTATCAAGAACAACAAAATGCTGGTCCAGGTTCCTGGTTTCAGCTCAACTCCTTCCAAACCTGGTTTTCTACTGTCATAGTTGGGGTATGAATGAGATGATGGCTCAGATTCCTTTAATGAGAACTTCTGGTAATCATTTCATTGATAAATATATTCAGGTCTCCTGTTAAATCCCCTGGCTCCCCTTTCCCCTTCCCATCTTCCTGACAAGTCAACTGTTTTGTTTCCTTTTCTAAAGTTTTGCATCTTACAGTGCACAGAATTAAATTATTCATGAATCGATGGCTTTAATTTTTTTGTGCTTATCTACTGGCTTCTTTATGGTAATGGGTTGAAAAAGTAAATTTCTACTTTATATTATTATAACTTAGCACTAAACAATGATCAGTTTTGTACATTATCTAATTCTATTAATCTAGCCAGACTAATACAGCATGTTAATCAGTATCCTTACAAAAACTTTTGGCATAGCTGTGATTCACAATGATGAAGATCAGATCAAAACATTATGTATTGATTGCTTTTAGTTGGCTTAAAATTAACTTAGCTATGCAACAACCAAAAGTACAGAAATACGTAATTTCTTTTTTTATGATAATTCACTGACAACATGTAAGTATAACCTTAGTATAAAAAGGCTATATAAATATTCATTCATCTGGTAAGTCTTATTAAACTCACAGTGTTTGAGAAGAAAAAAATTAAGAATCTATAAATGTGGGTTGTAATATTGAACAATATCACACTATTTCTGCCATGTTTTTGTTTGAAACATTCTTGTTTGGCTATCTGAATGTTAGGACAATCACAGCAAGGAACTCAAACTTTATCCAGTAAAATGGTAAATAATACAAATTCTCTTCATTCGTAAATACTTTTTTTGAGTGGTTTCAGTGAAAAGATATGAGAAATCTAAAATGGAAAAGGGAGCTCATGCTCAGGATTCCATGAAGCCGTGCCATAAGGTGACTGCTCAGAAACAAAAATAAATCAGAGCATTGAGAAGTATGCTGGGAAAGTTTTGCAAATATTACTCTTGCGTGTATCTAGCTCCATTATACAGTTTAACATTTGGCCAATTTTAAAAAGTATTTGCTAAACAGTTCCTGCATGTGGCATATGTTTCTGGGGTACGTCTGACATTGATATGAGAGATTATAAAACATTTAGAAATGAAAATGTTACTCTCTAACAAAAAAACAACCCTATAAGTTCCAAGAGTCTTCTGAATTCATAAGATGGAAAAACATTTGGAAAATAGTACCTTTTGCTTTTAAAATATTCAAATAATGTGATTTAAGAAAACAAAAATGTGTAGTTGTTCAAGGCAAGGAAGAGACGAGTCTAATTAAAATAAAGTCCTAAAATTTACTCTTAGAGCCATCACTTTTTCTTTGCTGCCTCAATGCTGTTTATTCCACAATAAATGAGCAGTTTTATCCCTTCGGCTGGGAAGAATCCTTTTTACCCTACCAAGGTGATGGCAGTAGTACTGCAGTACTCACCCTGCACGAAATGCATGAATATAAAGTATCCTCAGTCATTTTTATCAGAGTGTATGCAAGAGTTGATTTGCAATGCATTAATTTAAGAACTCAGTGGAGAGGCTCCTACTATATCTAGCAGATCTAAACTTGAGCTCATGATAACATTGCACAAAACTGTGGTAGATAAAAGTGATAGGTAAAGCCAATAGAACAATTCCACTGACAACACAAACTCCTCCAAGGATTCTTCCAGGCACTGTGATAGGATACATATCTCCATAGCCAACTGTAGTCATAGAGATAATCACCCACCAGCAGGCAGCAGGGATGCTGGCAAAGTCCTTGTTGGATGTTTCCAGGTCCAACCCATGTTCAAGAAGCTGAGAAAGTGCACTAAAGATTGCCATGGCAACACAAATGAAGACAAGTAACATAACCATCTCTCGGTAACATCTTTTGAGAGTCAAACCAAGTGTCTGAAGACCAATGAAGTGACGGGCAAGCTTAATCACCCAAAAAATCCTCATCATTCTAAGCACCCTCAAGGTGACTCCAGCCCTCTGGAGTTGAGAGTTCTCGCCAGTAAACACTGTCATTAACACGGAGATGTAATAGGGTGTGATTGCCAGTAAATCAATGATGTTCAGGGGTCTCTTGACAAACTCACACTTGTTTTTGGAGACGATGAATCTCACAATGCACTCTGCAGTGAACCAACCTATGCAGATCGCTTCAATTATCCTGTCAAAAGAACAAAAGAAGGATTGATCATTTTATTTTTAAGCATTTTAACAGCTCTTAGATTTCTTCAGATAGTACTACACTGACACACTAATTCAGTTACTGTTCCAGAAAACATGAAAAACAGACATCACCAGACCCACCAGGACACAACATATTATCCTTCAAATGAAACTTAAGCTCGATAAAGTTCTTAACTGTATACTGCATACAACACCATTATCATTGTTATATCTTTAAAATTGTCACAAATACTGAAAAACAAAAAAATCTTTCTGTCTGTTATTTGGTAATTTAAACTTCATTTATACCCAGCTAGCATAGTCCTTGTGTTGTCGTTGTTGTTGTTGTTAAGTACCATGGAGTCAGTTCCAACTCATAGTGAACCTGCACAGGGTTTCCAAGGCTGCAAATCTTTACGGGAGCAGAAAGCCTCATCTTTCTCCTGCGGAGCAGCTGGTAGTTTCAAATTGCTGACCTCAAGGTTTGCAGCCTGATTCATAACCACTACACTACCAGAGCTCCTTAGTGTGGCGCTATGGATTAATGTGCTGGACTGCAAAGTCAGTTTGAATCGCAAGGTCAGTGGTTCAGGCTCACCAGTCACTTTTTAGAAATCCTATATAGGATTGCTATGGGTCAAAAGCAACTCAATGGCATTTAACAACAACAAAGTCACTATATAGACTTCTGGTGTGGCACTGTAGGATCAGCACTAGACTGCGAACCATAAGGTCAGCAGTTCCAATCCACCAGCCATTCCTTGGAAGCCCACAAAGGCACTTAACAACAGCAGCCATTATATGACCATGTACTCACTCCTGGAGGGCAGGGGCTTCCAGTGTGATGTCATTTAAGACGTATATCAGGACTTTGTTCCTACAGACAATGAATATACTCAAGTTTTGATGACATGTTGCTAAGTGCTGTTAAGTCAGTTCCGACTCATAGTGATCCTGTATAGGCTGGTGAGTATGAACCACCAACCTTGAGGTTCAAACTGACATTGAGGTTGAGTGCTTATCCTATTATAGTAAACTCAAGCTCATTTCCTTAAATGTTCTTTCCCAATAGACTGGGAGACACCAAAGCTGAGCCAGCTCTTGGGTGCTGCCAGAGGCCCTCACCAGGAGTGACCAGGTCATGGGCATCTTGGCCTGGAGTGTCAGAGAAGGAAGAAGGCTGAGGACTCCACCAGCATCAATCAAGCCAACTGCCATCAAGTCGACTGACTTGTGGAGAACCCACATTTGCTGAGTAAAACTGAGTTCCATAGGGTTTTCCAGGCTGTGACTTTTCAGGTTATCATCAGGCCTTAATTCCAAAGTGCTTCTGGTAGCAGGAAAGCAATTAACACTTTGTACCACCCAGGGACTCTTACTATTAGGACAACCCCTAGGATTTTCCCAAAGACAATAGCGATTTTGTTTGTTTTCCATAAATATTTTTATGCAGCGTGTATTTAAAAATATTTTAAAGACCACATTTTTCCTAGAGCAATGTTTACCAACCTTTTCACATTCCTGAACACACTGAAAATAACATTTACACAGCATATTGGGGACATGGAATAAGATTCTTGGAGTGAAAGTCACTGGCCTGAGGGCTTTGGCAACCCTGGTACTCATTTCACATCCTTCATGGCTGAGGAAATAAAATCTCAGCACACATTTAAGAAGCCTTGCTTGAAGTGAGGGGTATTTTGAGGTAACTTCAAATTTAAATTTCAAATGCCAAGGTACCTGACAACTGACTGAAAGATATCTATATTTGTGCCTATTTCAAAGAAAAGTTATCAAACAGAAGATGGAAATTATTGAACAATATCATTAATATCACACGCAAGTAAAATTTTGATGAAGATAACTTTAAAATGCTTGCAGCAGTATATCAACAGAGAACTGTTACAAATTCAGGCCACTTCAAAAGAGGACATTGTTGATGTCAAATGGATCTTAGCTGAAGGCAGAGAATACCAGCAATATGTTTTTGTTGTGTTTTTTTTTAATGTTTTATTGTAAATTATGTGATAGTTTACATGGGAGAACATTAGCTTTACATTCATCCTATCGTATATGCGTTTCATTGCCATGGCGTCACTGCTTCTCTGGGTAGGGTCCCGCACTCCGCTCTTCTCCCTTGATAGTCCCAGGGACCTCCACTCCTAGACTGCAAAGTCAATCACTCCCCTCCTTTTGCTACAAAACATCTACCTTTACATTTCCAACCCTCACAGTCAGTCCTGATAGCAATTATTCACTATTGTACCCAATCTCATTTCATCATCCCTGCCCTGCTGATGGATACTACTCAGTGGAGATTCTACCTTCCTCTGAGCCCTCTGGATCTAGGCTCCCTCTTGAAAGTCTGTAAGCCAGTCACTTCTTACCTTTGTAGCCCTCCCATTTTGGGTAGCCAATGTCCAAGTTGCCCATCCCTGTCTACCCTGTGGATTGAGGGGGTGGGAATGATCCTCGCTGTAAAGATTTGTTTCCTCTTTCAGCTACTGCATCCACAGGTGTAGGTCAAGTTCATCAAATTGTATCAGATCTCTCATTTTTTCCTCTTCTTCCTTCTTCTAGTTGAGATCTGATCATCCAGCCATTGAAGCCAGGTCAAGTGGGTATTATCTACAAGTGTGGGTGTTCTTGTGCATATGCCCTCTCTTCTTATCAGCTGGGTGCTTCACTCTCCACTCTAGTCCTTTGTGGCTATGTCACTGACTCTGGGCCCAAGAGTCCCCAGGTCTTGCCACACTGCTGGCCAACCAGGTCTCCACCCGGGTTCACAGGAGTCTATTGAACGTTTTAGGGCTTAGCTCGCAGTTTCATTGCTGTCTTTCCCTCACTTCTTCTTATCGGTGACAAATGTAGTCACCCATCAGGGCGCATGTCTACTCGTGTATTCCCATTGAGTCTTAGTCTAGAAGGGGGTTTGCCCTGAGGGGACTCAGCCAACCAGCAATATGTTTACCTGTGTTTTACTGACTATGCAAAGTCATTCAACTGTGTGTATCATAAAAGATTATGGACAGCATTTCAAAGACTGGGAATTCCATACAATTGTGCTCATGTGGAACCTGTACATAGACCAAGATATAGCCATTTGAAAAGAACAAGGAGATACTTGGGCGTTTTAAAATCCAGAAAGGTATGTGTCAGGATTGTATCCTATCTCAGTTATCTAGGACTATTATAACAGAAATACCACAAGTGGATTGCTTTCACAAATAGGAATTTATTCTCTCTCAGTTTGTTGTTGTTAAGTGCTATCGAGTCTATTCTGACTCACAGCAACCCTGTATAGGGTTTTCAAGGAGCTTGAACTGCCAACCTTGCAGTGCAAAACAACTTTGCAGTCTGGCGCATTAGCCCACAGTGCCATAGTTTAGCTAGCTGAAAATCCTAATTCAGGGTGCCAGTTATAGGGGAGAGCTTTCTCTCTGTCAAATCTCAAGGAAGGTCTGGTGGTGGTGGTGTGCCGTGGAGTTGGTTCTGACTTATAGTGACCCTGTATAGCATTTCTGAGTATAAATCTTTATGGGAGCAGAAAGCCTCATCTTTCTCCTGAGGGATGGATGGTAGTTTCGAACTGCTGACCTTGAGGTTAGCACCCTGACTAGTAACCACTACGCTACCAGAGTTCATTCAGGGAAGGTATGTTGTTGTTGTTAAGTGTCACTGAGTCGGTTTTGAGCCATAGTAACCCTGTATAGGGTTTTTGAGGAGCAGCTGGTGAGCTTGAATCACCAACCTTGCGATTCAAACTGACCTTGCAGTCCAGTGCATTAACCCACAGCACCATACCAGGACTCCTCAGGGAAGGTATATGTTATCAATATTACCCTGGACTTAGGGTATGTCTCAGCACAGGGACTCCAAGTTCAAAGAACATGCTCCACTCCAACTCTTTTTTTCTCCGGTGGTAGCAGTCCTTCTGATGTCTGCTTGCTTGTTTAGTCTCCTTTATATCCCAAAAGAAACTGATTCAAGATACAAGCTAATCCAGTGAATTGTATCCTGTCTCAATAACATAAATGCCATTAATACTGCTTGCCTCATTCATAGCATAAAGGTTAGGATTTACAACACACAGAATAATCACATCAGATCATGAAAAGGAGGATAATTACATAACACTAGAAATCATCATCTACTCAAGTTGACACATATTTTGGGGGACACAATTCAGTTCATAACATGTCCTTTCACCATACTTATTTAATCTGTATGCTGAGCAAGTAACCTGTGAAGCTGGACTATATGAAGAATGTGGAGGAAGACTCATTAACAATCTGTGATATGCAGATGACACAATCTTATTTGCTGAAAGAGAAGATGACTTGAAGCACTTTCTTATGAAGTATGAATTACACCTCAACATAAAGAAGGAAAAATAAAAGCCTCACAACTGGACCTATCAGCAACATTATAATAAACAGAAAAAAGATGGAAGCTGTCAAGGATTTCATTTTTCGGGGATCCACAATCAGCATTCATGGAAGCAGCAGTCAACAAATCAAATAATATACTGCAATGGGCAAAACTACTGAAAAAGATTTCTTTAAAATGTTAAAAAGGAAAGATGTCACCTTCAGTTTTGCCTACCAAAGCCATGGTATTTTCAATCACCTTATATGCATGAAACACCTGGACAATGAAAAAGGAAAACTGGAGAAGAATTGATGTCTCTGAATTATAATGTTGGCAAAGAATATTTACTATACAAATAGACTGCCTGAATAAACACATCTGTCTTGGAAGAAGTACAGATAGAATGTTCCTTAGAAGCAAAGATTTCGAGACTATGTCTTAAGCACTTTGGAGAGGTTATTAGAAGGGACTGGTTCCTGGAGAAGCACATTATACTTGGTAAACAGTCAGTGAAAAAGAGGACATCAGTGGCTGCAACAGTAAACTCAAACATAGCAATGACTGTGAGGATGGTGCAGGACCAGACAATGTTCTGTTCTGTCAAACATAACATGATAGAGTCATGAT